TCCGCTGATGTCTGAGGGCGATGTGGAGGCTGGGAGGGGGAGGCTGATGCTCCATTTGCGTGTTGCAAGCGGGAATTATACTGTTTTTTTATCGTCGTGTGCATGAGATTTCGGATGATTCCTGGAGTCCCTGCCCGATTTGCAGTACCCATTACGCTTAGAGGGGTAAACATCGGGTCCGTCTGGAGTTTCCATCACCGTTCCGACTCGATTCGCCCACGTACGAGCGTCGGGATGGAAATTCGGAAATGCAGGGGCGTGTCCTTTTTTCGTGGCGTCGATCGGCCGTGCCCGCTCTGCAGTAAAGATTCTTTGATTTTCATCCGATTCAGTAAAATCTCCATTTGATTTTTCCATTTTCCCCTCCATTTTTCTCCTACGACAGAGATCCTTGCTCGTGAAATAAGACGGAATGGCGATCACGGTATCATGATATATTTCCCAAAAATTTCGGTATATTTCCCAAAATTTTTTTAATACAAATTTTCTCGTTTTACATGCAACGTTGTTGATGCTTGGAAGGACTTGCAGACAGATTTGGAGACGCAGTTCCCCAAACAGCATGTTTATGTGAAGCAGCATCTGCAGACTGCAGCTTCACCGAAAATCCTTTTCAATTTAAAGAGTCGCCTTCTTGCAACGTAAAAATAAATCTTCTCGAAAGCTGCGGCAGAAATATTTCCTTGGTAAGGTCGATCCATTTCAGCTGGAATTTTTTTTGCCACTTGTGGGACGCAAATCGGACGCAAGTCGGACGCAAGTCAGACTTCAGAGGTGCACGTTGAAAAGCTTTAAAAAATCTGTACATTTTTTTTATTTGCATCTCGATGAACTTCTCACGAATTGCGGTCACGCGACGCAAACTCTGGACGAGGCGAAGACCATGGAAACGATTTTCCACGCGGTCGTGACCGCTTAGCCGCTGGAAGTTTCCCACCTTTCCCTGGTTCCTCATGTTTCATCTTCCTTGTGTTTCACTCCTTCAGCCGGCATGTTTCTTCAGCCGACATGTTTCTTCAGGTGATATGTTCATTCTTGGAGCAGTTTTAGACCCACGTTTCTGAAGAGCCTGACGTCTAGGGATGGAGTCGCTAAGTTGGAGTTGGCTTTGGATTACTAGAGAGGGCTAAGATGCTTTACACGAGCATTTGACTGCTTCCCCCGAAGGTTTCCTGAAGTACTTTAGATAATCAAGAGATGTCTGACACCATTCAAGAAATAAACATAACGTTCTTATAATTGAATCAGTCATCGCACAACAAATTGGACGAAAAAATGAGAGAAGTCAAAGGAAATGGCCAAGACGCCAGGGTGACATGAGCCCCAGAGAGACGAGGATGTATCCCCAAAGCGTCGGAGAGTGGAATGACCCAGCTGATCGCTGCTCCTCCGCCCCCCTGCGGAGAGACGCATTCGTCTCAGTAGGACTTTTCTGCCCTTCGAATGCGCGGTAGATGCGCGCGACGCTTACCACATGACGCAGCTGTCGTTCCCGTTGACCATGAAGTGGTTGGCATTGCAGCCGAAGGCCTCGGCGAAGGCGGCGTTGTTGCTCAGGGTTCCGTAGATCCTGAACTTTGGTGGACTGTGCTGATCGTACATGATCGCGTTCAGAAGAGCCTGAACTGTGCTGTGCCCGCACCAGTTCTAAAAAGGATGGATACGAAGGAACATAGCGAAAACGATAAGATTTGAGAATGTGAAAAATCCTCGTACATAAGCGAAGGTGACAAAGAAGAGCTGCTCAGGCGTGAGGAAGTCGAGACCAGGGAGGGAGGGTTCCGTTCCGTTCCGGTCGATGTAGTTGAGGTAGGCGAACCAGGCCTCACTCAACCCTCCATTATCGGCTATGTTCTCTCCCAGAGTCAACAGTCCGTTCACGTGCGGGTCTGCAAAGTTCAAAAGATAAAGGGACGATCGAAGAACGATCGCCACTAGCTCATGAAACCGCGGTCAGAGAAGGGAGCTGACCGCTACGAAGGAAAGTTCACAGGAATTAACCCCTGACTTCTTGACTAGAAGATTTTTACATTTCAAAGTGAAATTGAAAAGGAAAAGTTATGGAACAGTGAACATGAAAGGAGAATAATGAAATTCGCAGACCTTCCAGGAAGTCTGAGAGTTCCGGGACTTGGTAGCCATCGTATTGATCGACGAAGCACTGGGCCCTTTGCCCGAAGGCCTCGGCCGTTGCATCCGTCCACCAGTCGACCAGGTTCCCATGGGCATCGTATTGGCGGCCCGATGGGTCGAACCTAAAGATATGCGTTAGCACATGAAGGAAAGGAGTGAAGAATTGTATATAACCCAAACCTGTATCGCTTGTAATAAAGTTTGATCCAAGATGGGAAATAAATTGACATGTGACACTGTCCATCTACGATGAGTTTCCCCCGCGTTCGACAGAAGATTGGAAAATGCTTTCCCAAGATAGTATGACCAAAGGATGTGGCCCAGTGGCCTTCACCCAATTCTTTCATCAATTGACATACAATTCCATAGCTTAGTGGAACTTCACATAGTCCCCATATACGTAAGAAATAGCAAGAAATTATGGTTTGATGAGAAACAGAATGAATCTTCTCCGGACCTAAATAGTTTCATTCTCCCCTTTTTCGTGCTAATAACGAATTTAGCAAGAAGTTCACAGATGAGCTAAAAGAGGCTAGCAACCCACACATAGCTTCATGATTCTGTTTACGGGAGTGGCGGCGACATACGAAAATGCGACAGCGGAGATCCTCGATGGACCGCCGCTCCCGGGGACACGGGGGAAGTAGCCTGCAGTCTTCTCCGAAGACCGGGCGAGTGGCGATTTCATTGCAAGTTTCGGTCACGGTTACACGGGAATAGGCCAGCCTTTGACTTCTGCCTATCTGAAGTGCATTCGTATGGTGTGTTAAGATACATTTTTAGCGTTCCGCAACTATTGAATTCCTTTTGTTTAAACCCTGAACGAGAAACGTTTGGCAGCAAGCCCTGTATTTTTAGTGATTTCACTAAGCCTAATTTCTCCATTCAGTCATCACCTGTTTATACAAATAGTAATAAAATATTTCCCGGATCTAATGAACATTTTCGTAAAACAATGCAACTTATTTTCATACATGCAACTTATTTTCGATTTTCCCAATCTGTTTGTCATCTACTTCAAAATGTATTTTGTTTTTACTCGTCCCTTTACCCACCCGTGGGTGATTTCATGCCCGATGACCATCCCGATCCCGCCAAAGTTCATGGCGGCCGGCCTCCCTTGCTCATAGAACGGACTCTGCAGGATCCCCGCCGGGAAGGTGATGGAGTTCATGCTGGGATAGTAGAAGGCGTCGACGACGGTCGGGTGGATGATCCAGGCGTCCCGATTCACCGAGCTGTTTACGCCGAACGCCTGTCGTCTCCACTTCCAGCTGAGCAGGCTGAATATATTCCGCAGGTGACTCCCTTCGTCCACGGTGAACTGCATAGCCGGAAAAGGAATCGGATTCAAAGCTGAGAAATCAAGCGATATCTCCAAGTTTCCTGCTAACCATCCAGCTGTGAACGAAATGGATGTTTTATGCTGGGTTATAGGCTGGGCCATTGCAGACAGAAAACTGAAAACTTCTGTATCGCTTAATTGTTTTTTCAAGTTGAACTCATAAATGTAATGCTTCCAACAAAGGGGGGTGTCGGATTTAATTCATTCGCGGGGATGTGGAACCGACGAAAAAATTAGTCAGGTGGTCGAACGAAAAAATTATTTCAAATTCGTGACTTGATCGCCTTCTAAAAGTTAGACATTGTAACAACTCTACCAGTAAAACAACTATGTATATGCCATTAAAAAACAATTGGTCGCTGGAGCTATCATAGGAAACAGACTCGGTGGATGGAATGTTGGAAAGGAATTTTTGGACCCATAGAACCAACTGCTTGAACTATTCTGGTCTCCGAACCCGTCGCCAGAACTTTCCAGCAGCATCTTTAACCATTTATGAACACAGAGTCGATCTTGATGCCCGAACTAGGATGTTCACAGCGCCATTCGTCTTCGGTTCTCTTTGAGCTGTTTCAGCAACCAGAGTTGCATATTGTTCTTTTTTTTTCTTTTAGGAGCATATCCATGAATAGTGACGATAATATGGACCGACACTTCCGCTCGGTACTTCACCCAGGCAACAGGCTCTGAAACTCATTAGTAGGGAAATAATAAATATAGGCAGAATAAATATCGGAACGGGACAGACCCCAAAATAATAATCGGCTAGGGCCTCCGGATCGAGGATGAAATCGGGATATCCGATGAAGGCCCGAATGGCATCATTCTTCTCCTTCGCCTTCTCCAGCGTTGCCGCGTCTATCCAGTCGATCGAGTCCAGGATCCCGTCGAACGCCGCCTTCAGGTCCTTCACCAGCTGCTCCACCTGCAAACAGAGCACAACACAATACTGCAACTGTGGCCTTGAACCTCCCACTCCCCCATCCCAGTAAAATACCCTCTTAACCCCCCTGGCAACAAGTACCGAGTCCAGTATCGTGGATGAGGAGTAGGTCGAAGTCGAAAACTGCATCTAGGTCTATCGTATTCGTATTGAGTCACATGCAAATGTGGCTCGATCAAATAGCAAATGATTCAGTGGTTACTTGCCTGTTGTCGAGGTCTTGGTCACGGAGCGCCGTTACTGAATTACTTTGTTGCTCGTGTTGCTTGCTACCATGATTAGGCTCAGTAACTACATGGACAGCTCAAGCCTTTGCTCTTTGATCGTGGAGAGTGCGAGGATGTGAAACAGCTAATCGCATGGTACGTTTGCATGGTGCTGAGTGACCAAGTAACGAGTGACAAGGTGTGAGGTGGTCGCTTGGCTCTCACATGCGACAGCATCTGATGCGATTTTCCCATATGGGGGCCCTGCCCCCCGTCCCCCAGCTCTACCTCCGTCTCACCTCTTGCTTGGCGCTGGGCGGGAAGAATTTGGAGACGTAGACGCTCCCCACGGCCATCCCCATCAGGTTGTTCACCAGATCCGTACACTCGTAGTGCCTAGCAGACATAGGCATACATTACATCTGTCCCAGGAGCCCGGCAGCTGCATGCTCTTCAATTTGAAATATCCGGCCGATACCTTTCTGGAGGCTCGTCGATCCCCGAGACGTTCTGGGAGAATCGGAAGAAGAGATCCCGCATGGCAAGGTTCGTCTCATCTCCCGCCGCGTAAACCAGCCGCCAGTGCAGGTAGTTTGCTGAAAGAAAAACATCCACATATTTCATTCGTTACTGAACGGATGTAACGCTCTCGTTCCGCACGAAGCAGAAGTATTGCCGATAGCGAGAAGAGTTCAATCTCTTCACGAATCTTAAACAAGAAAAGAGCTGGAAAGCAATACGCGAAAAAATAAATGGAGCCACTTCACAATTCCGAGTTTTTTCTATTACAGCTTCTGCGCGACAACAGACCGACTCAACGGAAGCGAAGGCACTCAAGGCTCCGCTTTCTCCTCTCGGGCTCCTCACCGATCGTCTTCTTCGGAGTCTGGACGAGGAGGTCGGCCAGGCGGGCCATGAAGTCCGTGGCGTAGCAGACGACTTCGTCCCTGCTGTCCCAGGTCTGGCCCACGCTCGAGAACAATGCGTTTAGAAACGTCGTCCACGTGATCTGCAGTGAATATCCGTCGAATGACTTTAATTAAATAAATTAATAAAATAAAGGTAATTCAGAGATGGTGCTTGTGAATGTACTGCTATAGATTGTAATTGTGCATGTAACCATCCCCCATCCCTCCATTCAAGTTTTCGATTAACTAGATACTGAGATCTTAAAGAGTGATTCTCTATACATTTCAAACATCGTCATATTTTGAATTGAATTTCAGGCGAGAGTAAAAAACGTTGAGTTTTCCCTCTTTCCACTCTACCAAAAGGAAGGAGCTGGCCATCTGCAGCGATTCAACAACGTGATCAAAACTTCCCCAAAGTATTAATATAACAGGATTGAGAAACAGCTGTAATTCAAATCGTCTCAACTGCTCGCTGCCATACATCTGGTGAAGAGCGATTGGATTTTTCCTATACCGAATAAAGGAAATCAGTCCCTGTTATTCGCTTATTCTCGGAACGAAGTCTTTTTAGACCGAACGCGCGAGAGTAATGACAGTTTCTCTTGCATTAAAAAGTATTTCCTATTGCGAGGAACCTCTTCTTGATTTTTTTTTCTCTCCTACTGAAATATGTTAGTCTGGTTTATGAAGGTAATTTTATTTTCATGGCAAACATAAGTTATGGTTTTAAAAAATCCGAATGTTAGGGCGTTGTCGAGACCAGCTTCAGCTTCAGGTCCCGAAATAAAAAATTAAATGAGATCACAAGGCTACCGAATGGGAAAAAAAAATTGTTTTACGTTTGCTTCTCTTGTGCTTTTACATGTATAGAGGAACATATGCTCTGGCCAGGAGAAAGAAACGACGTTGGACTCACGACTTTCGGGGCGATGGCGTCGGTGGCATTCTGGAGATCCGCCAGGCTCAGCTTGTTGTACAGTTTCGTGTGATTCAGCCTGTCCTCGTCCGGCATCATGATCTGCGGGCATGGTGAACGATATCTAATATATATAGACGATCGTGACTGACTGACTGACGCTAATTCTAATCTAATTCTAACCATGTTCTAGAAGGGTTAGAAATCTGAAACTTGGTACACATGTACTTCTTCAGATGCAGAGTTCAGAAAAAATCCGACTTTGGAGGTACATGCCCGGGGGGTACAAATTTTGGGGTGAAACGTTTTTCTTGAGTATATTTTGTGACAGATGAGGATGGCATTAAGAAAGCCGATTGGATGTGCTGGGTTCGGTGGTGTAGTAATAGCAGATCTCACTGGCAATCAGAAGGTCCGGGTTCAATTCCAAGCCATTCCTATGCTTTCCTTCGTCATTTTTTTCCTTCCACGACCCTTTACTCATTCCCCCTCCATAACATTATTTTTATTTGAGTAAAACGGAGAGCCATGGAAAGCTGAAACTTGGCATAAACGTGCCTACCGAGACGATCAGGTCAGGAAATATGCAAAATTTTAGATCCATGCCCAGGGGGCATATTTTTTTGAGCCGACGTTTTCAAGTATATGTTTTTGTCCTGGCGTTTTGAGGTAGTGTGGAAAGATGAAACTTGGTACATAGGAAGTATTTAAAAATGTATTCTCCACTCTTACTAAAAGGGACACAAGAAAAGGTTTCAAGTTAGGCACACAGAATCATAGAAGTAATGGTTTTGATAAAAATCAAGACTTTCGCCTCCATATGTCACGTTTTTCAGTGGGGACGTACTTTAATTGCATGCTTCCTATTTCGCAAAAAATTAATGAATTAATCACTATCCAAGGTAATGGAGCGCCGAAGGCCCGACCATAGTGAGTTTCTTTGCCCGAAGGGCAAACAAACTCGCTAGTAGGATATATGGATGGGCTATGCCATCCTCCACCCATCTGTACGTGCAATGTATACAGATATATACACTATGACATCCTCTATTCATCAGTGCATGGGGTATTCAGGGCAGGGCATAAATATTCACACCAAAAGTCTTGTATTTACTGTAATAATAACTTCTCAATGAATCAATTGAATCTCAACAAGACAAGGGTTCACATTAACTTTTCACAAAATACGTTTGATGTATCCCCATTCTTCTTGACGGCAACCGGGAATCTTTGAGTCTGCGGGTTGATCGCACAGGACGGACATGGTTTCACTCCTATCTCGGCCCGAACCTTAACTGGTTCAGGTAGCTGGATTTCGTTTATGGGCGCTTGCTTTCAACAGGGCTGTATAGCAACTGGAGGGGCCACATCTTAACGACCTGGGCCTAGCCGAGCTTATCGTCTCGAAGGGGAGGTCGGGGAGTTAATCCTGCCTCCGGGCTTTCGGATAGAGCCCTATATCTGAACCTGATATGACATTCTGAAACGGAGTTGCAAAGTCTCTTGTTAGTTTAGTTTGGTTTGGTTTGCTTTAGTTTAGTTTGGCTTGGTTTAGTTTGGTTTGGTTTAGTTTAGTTTAGTTTGGTTTAGTTTAGTTCGGTTTATTTTGTTTTGGTTCATAATATCCTAACAATGAAGTGAACCCTTTCTGGGCGGGGGCACCTCGACTGAGCCCCTTGCGAGCCGGCAGGAATTAGCGCCGAGCCTTATCTCTGTGGCCCCTCCAGTTGCGGAACAGCCCAAGTGGCTCACCCTGTATGTAGGTTTCGTTGGTGCATGTTCGGAGGGAGAAATTGAGACCTATAGAAGCCCTTCAAAGAGGGGCAGCATCGTAATGGGGATTGAGGAAACAAACATTAGCGAAGAATTTTGAAAACGGGCGGAAAATAACGCCATGAAATGCATGACTGTGTTTTTCCGGCAAGATTTATAAGTTACATTTGTGATACACCTTTACAATTTATCTTCAATAAATAATTTTGCGTATTTGTTAAAAAAAAATATTTAGTAACAAAAATAATCGTCCTTCGCGGAAGAAAGGTAGCCTCATATGTGCCACCAGGAGTGACCAGTTTGATAGGCGATCGATATAGAAAGGCTTCGAGGTGGTGGAATGAGATAACACAATTGCACANCATCTGGTGAAGAGCGATTGGATTTTTCCTATACCGAATAAAGGAAATCAGTCCCTGTTATTCGCTTATTCTCGGAACGAAGTCTTTTTAGACCGAACGCGCGAGAGTAATGACAGTTTCTCTTGCATTAAAAAGTATTTCCTATTGCGAGGAACCTCTTCTTGATTTTTTTTTCTCTCCTACTGAAATATGTTAGTCTGGTTTATGAAGGTAATTTTATTTTCATGGCAAACATAAGTTATGGTTTTAAAAAATCCGAATGTTAGGGCGTTGTCGAGACCAGCTTCAGCTTCAGGTCCCGAAATAAAAAATTAAATGAGATCACAAGGCTACCGAATGGGAAAAAAAAATTGTTTTACGTTTGCTTCTCTTGTGCTTTTACATGTATAGAGGAACATATGCTCTGGCCAGGAGAAAGAAACGACGTTGGACTCACGACTTTCGGGGCGATGGCGTCGGTGGCATTCTGGAGATCCGCCAGGCTCAGCTTGTTGTACAGTTTCGTGTGATTCAGCCTGTCCTCGTCCGGCATCATGATCTGCGGGCATGGTGAACGATATCTAATATATATAGACGATCGTGACTGACTGACGCTAATTCTAACCATGTTCTAGAAGGGTTAGAAATCTGAAACTTGGTACACATGTACTTCTTCAGATGCAGAGTTCAGAAAAAATCCGACTTTGGAGGTACATGCCCGGGGGGTACAAATTTTGGGGTGAAACGTTTTTCTTGAGTATATTTTGTGACAGATGAGGATGGCATTAAGAAAGCCGATTGGATGTGCTGGGTTCGGTGGTGTAGTAATAGCAGATCTCACTGGCAATCAGAAGGTCCGGGTTCAATTCCAAGCCATTCCTATGCTTTCCTTCGTCATTTTTTTCCTTCCACGACCCTTTACTCATTCCCCCTCCATAACATTATTTTTATTTGAGTAAAACGGAGAGCCATGGAAAGCTGAAACTTGGCATAAACGTGCCTACCGAGACGATCAGGTCAGGAAATATGCAAAATTTTAGATCCATGCCCAGGGGGCATATTTTTTTGAGCCGACGTTTTCAAGTATATGTTTTTGTCCTGGCGTTTTGAGGTAGTGTGGAAAGATGAAACTTGGTACATAGGAAGTATTTAAAAATGTATTCTCCACTCTTACTAAAAGGGACACAAGAAAAGGTTTCAAGTTAGGCACACAGAATCATAGAAGTAATGGTTTTGATAAAAATCAAGACTTTCGCCTCCATATGTCACGTTTTTCAGTGGGGACGTACTTTAATTGCATGCTTCCTATTTCGCAAAAAATTAATGAATTAATCACTATCCAAGGTAATGGAGCGCCGAAGGCCCGACCATAGTGAGTTTCTTTGCCCGAAGGGCAAACAAACTCGCTAGTAGGATATATGGATGGGCTATGCCATCCTCCACCCATCTGTACGTGCAATGTATACAGATATGCACTATGACATCTTCTATTCATCAGTGCATGGGGTATTCAGGGCAGGGCATAAATATTCATACCAAAAGTCTTGTATTTCCTGTAATAATAACTTCTCAATGAATCAATTGAATCTCAACAAGACAAGGGTTCACATTAACTTTTCACAAAATACGTTTGATGTATCCCCATTCTTATTGACGGCAACCGGGAATCTTTGAGTCTGCGGGTTGATCGCACAGGACGGACATGGTTTCACTCCTATCTCGGCCCGGACCTTAACTGGTTCAGGTAGCTGGATTTCGTTTATGGGCGCTTGCTTTCAACAGGGCTGTATCGCAACTGGAGGGGCCACATCTTAACGACCTGGGCCTAGCCGAGCTTATCGTCTCGAGGGGGAGGTCGGGGAGTTAATCCTGCCTCCGGGCTTTTGGATAGAGCCCTATATCTGAACCTGATATGACATTCTGAAATGGAGTTGCAAAGTCTCTTGTTAGTTTAGTTTGGTTTGGTTTGCTTTAGTTTAGTTTGGTTTAGTTTGGTTTAGTTTGGTTTAGTTTGGTTTAGTTTGGTTTAGTTTAGTTCGGTTTATTTTGTTTTGGTTCATAATATCCTAACAATGAAGTGAACCCTTTCTGGGCGGGGGCACCTCGACTGAGCCCCTTGCGAGCCGGCAGGAATTAGCGCCGAACCTTATCTCTGTGGCCCCTCCAGTTGCGGAACAGCCCAAGTGGCTCACCCTGTATGTAGGTTTCGCTGGTGCACGTTCGGAGGGAGAAATTGAGACCTATTGAATCCTTCAAAAAGGGGCAGCATCGTAATGGGGATTGAGGAAACAAACAATAGCAAAGAATTTTGAAAACGGGCGGAAAATAACGCCATGAAATGCATGACTGTGTTTTTCCGACAAGATTTTTAAGTTACATTTGTGATACACCTTTACAATTTATCTTCAATAAATAATTTTGCGTATTTGTTAAAAAAAAATATTTCCATTGTTTTTATTAGCAGGAAGCGCCTTCTTTCCATCGGAGTATACACGGTGGTCCTCACTGGTCAAACTATCCGCTAGCTATATCTTTCCGAAGCTCCACCACCTTACTCTATTGTGTTAACGTGTATTTCCAAGTAGATCAGTCTAAAAAAAGGATCTGGTCAGATTGTTTGCCTTTTAAATTCGATATATCGAGTGACTAAATGATGCTTCATTTTTCTTCGTATGTGCGACCCAAACTGGTCATTTGAATGACCGAATGTTAGTTTACAAATACGTAAATACGCCTTAATGATAATTTTTTTTCACCCTCGTCTCAGCCATAAAATGTCCTGTGACAGTTTACAGGTGGATCATTCCGCCTGGAGCGTAGAACGGTTTGCGTTCGAACATTCAGGGTTCGATTAAATTTGCATGCTGTCTGATATTGTTGAAGGCTTCTGCCGTCAGGGCAAGAAATGGCACACACCCCCACAGAGCTAAGTTAATTGCTCTTTCGACTAGAGTTGGCTAACCGAATGGGGAATGCAAGGCTGTTGACAGCTTTGCTTAAACGTTGGAAAAAGTTCAAGTTCAGGGAAGCATTCCTTTTCCTGTTGACATATTCAAATAAACTCTGGAATTTTAATGGAATTCTTGATATGGCCGATACTTTTACTTTTCCAAATTTTACGAAGCAGCCTCCTCCCATGAAACACAATTGGGCGTCTTTTTAAAACCCCCTTGAAATTCCTTCCTCATTCGTCCATTATTAACGCCGTGTGAAGGAGAATTTCCAGTTTCGGATTGCCAGTCCTCAGACGACTGCGATCCGAAAGGGTTCAACGTGGGATCCACTTAAGCAAGGATGCACTTAAGTAAGGATGCACTTAAGCAAGGTTGTACTTAAGCGGAAGGAGGAAACACCTGGGCCAGTTCGGACTCGAAGGCGATGACTCCCTCCGCCTGCTGTTCGATGTCCTCGTCCGACACGTAGGAGCCGAGATGGTCCCGGACCAGCTTTGCCGTCTCCTTCATCAGGTCTTTGTAGGCGAACAGGATCGCCTGAAACGATGGCTCCAGGTACAGGTCCCGACCCGAGAGACCTAGGTTCGCCTGGTCCAGCTATTAGGATTCCAAAACAGACGGAGGGATCGAAAAGTTCCGCAGACACAGGCAAGAAGGAGAGATGCAGGGAATCGCAAAGGACACATGAACTGCTGTGCTAAACGACCAAGGAGATCGCGGCTTACGTAAAGTGAGATTCTAGTTTTCGCAAGGTTGACCTGAGTGTATCTCATGCAAGGACAGCCACAAGTACAGTAGGCCGGGGTGTATTCGGCTCTACTTGCACAACTCGATGACGTTTCGCATCCAGGCGGCCGCCGTCTCCTGCCAGTCGAAGTCCCATCCATTCCATCCGTACAGGGTCATCGGCCAGCCTCCGCCGTAGTTTTTCATGATGGAGGTGAGAGGTTCCAGCCCCAGAGACTCCAGAGTTGCTGCAACGACGTGTCAAAAATGTAATTTTCCAAGTTAGAGGGAAAAGGTTTTCCCTATAGAAAAATAAGCTGAATCCCTGCGTCGCATCCTTGCTCCACCAAGAGCTGATTCATTCGCATGCTATTTTCCACTTGTTTCCTTTCTTCGCAAAAAATTATTATTTATTAAAAAATATTACTTTTCATAATTTCATAATAATGCGAAATTTCATCGTCACCTATGCCTTTCTGGTTCATTTTTTAAGTATGACGCACCAGTGTTGACGCAGGCGGCGTACAAGGTCTTCGCATCCCGAACGGGCACACTGTCACCCGGCGAGGGATTCGCCCTGAGAACGTCTGCCAAAGGACACAAGGCTGGAGACATCGCATAAGCGCGCAGAGAGCGTTGAAGAAAGCGGACAGACCTCGGATCCTCTCGTGCAGCTGGTCCTCCATCCCCTTGATGATGGTCATGGTGTTGGCGGCCGGTGGGATGGGGTTTTTCGCGATCCAGTTCCCGCAGGTGTACTTGAAGAAGTCCTCGCAGGGGTCCACGGTCAGATCCATAGATTCCTTGAGCTCCAAGGCTGCAACAATCCCAATA